ATGAGATAATAACTTGTGTTCAGCAGTAAATAGAAAAGATATACAGTAGATAAAAAAATGACAATTATTAAATAAAAATAGAAGTTTCAGGGAGACAGCCTGGGTATTCATCGATACTTTTATTTATTAAAAAAAAAGATAAACACCCACGATACCCATCCTGCTGACAGGTGACTGATCCTGGAAGATCAAAGTGGTCAGTAATCATGGAGCAGGGACGAATGGTCAAGAGTATCCAGAAACAGGCAGGATAGGTGAGGCTGGACAGTCCGCTGCTGCAGGTCAGTCTCACTGCCTTTCTGTCAACTAGATCGCTAGTCTTTCAGCCTGCGTATCTGTTGGTCTGACTGCAGTATTTCTTAAAGAGGGTTGTCAATCTGTGGGGTCTTCCATTTGCATCACATTGGTATATGTCTAAAATGTAAAGACTGAGTATAACATGCTCAATATCCCATCCACCTGCCCAGATGTGTGACTTTACCTGTACAGGTGTGTGTCTGAATCTAACCAGGAGTGTGAATTAACCAGTAGAGGTTTGGATTGAACCTGCCCAGGGGAGCACACCTGTTTGAGTGCGTTGCGAGCGATAGTCTGGAAGGCCTGGTGTATGTTGATATTCTCCTTGGCGCTGGTCTCGAAGTACAGGATGTTTTTCTTACTCTGACACCAGGCCTGCGCACGCGTTGCCTTCACCTGGTAAAGACGCACCAGGTTCAACATTACTGCATCACCACTCTTAACCAACACTGCCAGCCTACAGACAGAGCCCACAACACTCTCTGTAAACCTACACTCGCTGGCTCACTCCTATTTTCTTTACACAGTGCCTCGGGTGAAGAATTATTTGGCTGATGCTTTTATCCAAAGTGGTTTCCATTGCTCCAGGGTACAACAGTAATGCCCCACCCAGGATGCCACATGTAAACTTTCCAGTTCTGAGCCCTGCTGTTGAAGCTTACCAGCAAAGACAGTCTCTTTGAAGAAATATCTCTAAGGGTTTCATGCAGTGATCAGCAAACTGCAATGAGTCCAGTAGCCCACTTGTCTTATTTAACCCTTCGTATGTCTGAGATCTGAGACACTCTGAGTTTCGAGAGCTCGGGGCTGACCTGTCTGTTCTCCAGGTCAATCTTATTGCCCAGAACGATGAAGGGGAAGTTCTCAGGGTCTCGGGGACTGGCCTCGATCAGGAACTCGTCCCGCAAGCTGTCCAGTTTCTTGAAGCTCTCGGGCTGCGTGACATCGAACACCAGAATGCAGCTGTCCGCTCCTCGGTAAAACCCCGCCACCAGGGACGAGAATCGCTCCTGTCCTGCTGTGTCCCAGATCTGCAGCACAGCCACAGAGCACAAGAGCTCACAGCAGGCAGACATTAAACCCGAGCAGACAAACACTCAGCAGGTACTGTCACAAACTGACGGAGGACAAGCACACAGCTGGACAGAGAGATACACTGCCTGCATGATGACAGACACACACAGGGACAAGACACATAAAGACAGCTGGACAACTGACCTGCAGGGTCACAAGGTGGTCATCCACTATGATTTCCTTGGTGAGGAAGTCAGCACCGATGGTGGCCTTGTACTGGCTACTGAACATCTTGTTGACATACTGGTTCATCAGAGAGGTCTTCCCCACCCTGGAAGCACACACAGACACCAGCAGGGAGAGTAAGAGTGAGTGAGCACTAGCCTGGATTGTGAGCGACTTGCAGAGTGTACTATTGTCGTGTCCTCTCCTCACCCTGAGCTGCCCAGCAGTATCACCTTCAACAGGATCTGCTTATGAGACGCCATCCTTGACCAGCAGAGAGAGACAGAGTGAGGGGGAAGAGTGGGAAAGAGGGAGAATCAGACTGAAAACAGCACGATGAGGGAGGACAGGGTGAGCATGAGAATGAGAGAGAGACGGAAACTGAGAGAGGGAGGATAAGAACTAGGAAAGGAGAATGAGAGGAGAGAAGAATAATGAGGCAAGGAGAGTGAGGGGGAGGGAGAATGAGAGAGGGAGGGAACAGAGCGAGAGGGTGGGAAGAGAGGGAGGGAAGAGAGAGAGAGGGAGGGAAGAGAGAGAGGGAGGGAAGAAGACAACCAAATTTGAAAGAATAATTCATGTTTCTAATCAGTTTCTAATCTATATTCTGTCGTTACAATGTCTTTACAATTTAGCATTTGTCTGTATAATGATCGCTGAGGCAACACTATTGTATAATCGAAGGTAAACAGGTTGACAGCATAGACAAGGACCCAAAAAGCCCTGTCATACCAAACAACTCTCGAGTGACTAAAACTGTGAGTTCAGTACAGCAAAATAAACAGGGATCTCATTATCTCTAAAATCAGACAACACAGACCTCTGCTGAAACATGAAATCTCTAGATTGTTAACCTGGATCAGAGCCACAGGATTAATCTATAGAATGATCACCTGCTACATTTACCTACCGTCATCACTGGTTTGTACTGTTTTGTTGCAGGGATTGCAATAAGTGTAGCGATCTTCTTAAACCCCAAGGAGAATATTTAATCCAACACCATGAACTCAAACTCACCCTCAGGATCTTAGCCTGTTTCCACACCTCTGGTGCAACACTGTCAGAAGAGGACAGTGTGTGAAGGCAAGTGGATTCTCTTGGTGTGGCTGTGCTGGGAGAAATATTGTATTTCTAATGATAGCAGTAGGGTTACAAAAAATGCTAGCTCTTCCCGTATTTCACCCGAGGTGATGACTGTACGTTTGTTTCTTTTGGAATGCAAACAAACAAGTTACCTGCAGTACAACACAGAATGAAACAGAAAGAAAAACATATTCTTTGTTATGGTCCTGCTTATCCAATGATTGTAGTTCAACAGAGCACTGTAGAGCCATGTCTGACAAGCAGAGAGGTAGATACGAATTATGGGAACCTTGAGTTTATTTAAGCAAAAGGTGAAATTAGAGGTGTCTTTAGAGTTTGCTCCTCAGCATTGTGTAGTGGCAAGAGCTAATTACTGTAGTGTTTCTTCTCATAAATCATTGAATCCAACATAACACTGAAAAATGCTTCTTATAAAATAGATTGATACATGATCAAGTGGCATTACGTGGCAGGATAGGGTCCTTAATTAGACCCATCTGGGTTGCAGCATGAGGCCCCTATTGTTACTGATTGATCAGCGTGACATTGCACACACACTCTTGTGTTCACTGCAAGGTGACTCCTGACAGAAGCAAGATCTCCCCTTGTTAATGAAACAAGAAAAAAAGCTACAAATGAATCCATCTGGGCCATTTCATTTATTTGGCTGCAAACACATTGATTGAAGTATCTCATTCTGGTGTTTCTGGACGGATCCTGGGATATGCACTCAACAGCATGGGCTTGCTCCAGACTCCCACAACTCTTTGTGTCAAATAAAGCTTCTTGAGCTCCCTTTAATTTCCATTTCCATCCCCTAACCTGTGCTTGCTTTAAAGTCCTTAAATGTCCCCAGGATCACTTTGTCAATAACCCCCTAAAATGTTGAAGACGTCTTTTCTAAGAAGATTTTATCATTTTTGAAACAAAGTGCAACATCATCAGAACATGAAATGTACAAATGATAACAAAAGTAAACACGAAGAAAAAAGAGGAGACAGCGAAAAAGTTTTAAAATACAGAAGGACGCGTTGTCAGACCACACTGAAGTTGCAGATTGACAACTCTGGAAGTATTCCTCTTTCCAAGTTTCAGGAATGAGATCCCTCTGGGTGGAGTTTGGATGACTTCCTTATTGCTGTGTGGGTTTTCTGATTTCCTTCCATAGTCCAAAGACCGAGTGTTTGCCTTTATAGGCATCTCCAAATTGTTCCTTGTACACCTCTGTGCATGTGCCCTGCAGTGGGCTGGTGGCCTGACCAGAGTTCACTCTGCCTTATGCCCACTGTCTACCAGGTTAGGGACTGCCCCTCTGTGGCCCTGTATTGGGCTAGGCAGTTACTGAAAATAGATGGAGATCTGCCTGACTCATTCACTGAGAGAACGGGGCTGCAGATTTGTTTTAGTTCCATTAAGCAATATTTTGAGACGGACTGAAAATCCAAAAGCCAACACGACTGAGAAAACATCTAGAATGCCAAACTGTCAATTGGAAAATGACTTAATTTCCAGCAAGTAGGGTTACCAGTGATAGACAGCGTTCACCAACACCTGACTCACCTCCTAGTTCCATACACTGCATCTGTCTGCAAGAGTTTTCATCACCTGACACAAGAGGAGCAGCACAGTGACACAGTTACTAGCATTGCTGCTTTGCAGCACTGGGGACCTGGGTTCAATTCCAGACCTGGAGTGCTGCACATCTGATGCTGTTTTGCACATTAGCTGTTACTTGTTGTTTTGCACATTGCCTGTTGTCTCTCTTTCTTTTCTTATACAATTGTATTTTTGGTTTTTTTTGTACTTCGTACCGTCTGAGAGCTAGCTAAATAGCATTTTGCTATACCATATACCTGTATATGAGTATAATGACAATAAACTGGAACTATTATGTGGTGAGCTTGTGTTTTCGCTTTTTTTTTACATGGGTTTCCTCCCAGAGTGCAAAGACATACTGGTATGTTAATTGGCTTCTGGGAAAACAACCTGGTGTGTGAATATGACTGTGTGTCTGCCCTGGGCATGATGGATGAGATGGACTGGTGACCCATCCAGACTGTACCCTGCCTTGCACCCGCTGCTTATCAGGATAGGGTCCGGCTCCTCCACAATCCCAAACTGGAAGAAGTGTTTAGAAAATGGATGGAGGGATGAATGGACACAAGAAATTCTTAGTAAACAAAGCACAACTTTATTTATTCACTTATCTTCTCAAAAGACCACTGATGACAGGACACCAGTTAGAAAACCATCAGAATAAACAGCAGGGAGGCTGGTGAGGGACATCAGGAGACTCAGTGCACAGTCTGTACTGCCCTCAGAGAAACAGCGTCGTACAGTACACTGCTCTCTGCTAGACTCCCAGCAGGCAGGCAGGCAGGCAGCCTGGCGCATCACAGAGCAGGACTCACAACCTGCTGTCCTGACACAGGGAGCGGCAGGGGAAGATTCTGGAGCTCAGCTCTGCTCAGACTGGGGCCAGTGTCCCATGGAGATACAGTATAGGAGTGAGAACCGTGGAAATTCAAAATTAACACTACTGGCACACCGTGCAGAGACAGGGATACTTGAACAGTGAGTTCTGAGAAAGGAGCAAGTAGCATACAACAGCAGCAGGGCCTGTATGAGATGCTGAATCCTGACGGCACTGCTCTCTCTGAAGCACAAGGGCAGAGACATCCCAGAACCAGACCCTGAATACTAACTGCATCTGGCCCAGCCTCAGGTCCAGAGGTCACTACAGGGCTCGTCATGGGTAGAAGTGGAGCTACCCCCTCACTAACGCGTCTACTGTCTCCCCTCTTTCTGCTCCAGCCCATCCCACAGTTCCTGCCTTTGTCACTTCCTCTCCCGCCCTCTGCTTCTAGAAGTCGTCATCGTCGCAGATGTCCAGGTAGACATCGAAGGCCTCGCGGTTGCAGTTCCCGTCCGGCGTGAAGACGTACTTGTGGAACGTGCCGTCCACACAGATCGCTGAGACGAAGGGGGCGGAGGGAGAGGGAAAGAAGGGGGTTAATTCAGATGGGCTAGATGGTGCAGTACACACAGCGCAGGGCTTTATGATAACTGTAAACAGTCACTCATGGTTAGTATAACACAGTACTGCAACTGTAGCATTATCACGGTGCAGTCTGATCTTATCAGATCACTGAAGCTATGCAAGGCCAGTCCTGGTCAGTACAAGGATGGGAGGCCTTTACACACAATGAGGTTGAAGCTGTAAATGGTGTTTTTTAATGGTGTCTTCCCTCTGGACCAGATTTTTCAAAGGGTATATGATGACAAATGTAGGAGGAAGTGCCATCCATCAAAGGAGCTGTTAAACTGAGCTCCTGACTATGTGGCTTATGCAATCTTTGCTCAACTTTAGGCTTATGCAATCTGGCCTCACAAAATGTCCCTAAAGTGAAGCAATTTCTCACTTCTCTGCCTAATCAGCAATGTGGTGTGAGCACGTATGCAGCTGGTGAGAATGGTGGCTTTGTGTCACACAGACTGGAACTATGCTTCAGTGATGGATGATGAAATGAGGATGGCCACCTATAGGTAAGACGCTATATTTTGGGAAAACCTTGATATTCTGGGATGAAGAGTGCTATTTGAATGCAGGTGGTAATATTAATAATAATAATAATTTATTATTTACTGTGATGTCAGTATTGGATTAAGCACTACTGTTGTATCATACTACACTAATTCTCTTTTTCATTGCATTCATCTCAGTAGCGCTGCTGTACTGCAATGCATTGCAGTGTCTGGTGCATACCGATAACAGAGTTGACGTTTTTGGAGGTATTCTTCCCAAAGGCACAGATACAGGCACACTCTGCTGGGACAGTGAAGCTCGCCAGGGACCACTGACTGTCCACATACTGCCCGATCACAGGGCCCACCTTCCCCACACGAGCCAGGCTGAGGCACGGACACAGGGAGAAGAGAGAGTGAGGTTAGTGCTATCAGACAGTGTACCTCAAAGGTTGGGAGCCATGTCTTACAAACTGTGACAATTAAGTACATGCAAAAAACCCCAACACAAACAGAAACGGAAACAGGCTGGCAGAAACTGCACAAGGACAGACAGGTAGAGTCTTACGCAGAGCGGCGGTTCAGTTTGGTATCTTTCAGAGCGAAGATGTGAACTGTCCCCTTGTCACTGGAGGCGCACAGGAAGGAGGAGTCGTGGCTGAAATTGATACTGAGACACAGGAGACAGTAAGAAACACCAGCTGCATATCCACACACCCACCACAATGTTCTTCACCTCCCTCTTCCCTCAGCACCAGTGTGTGCCCCCCTTCCTCTCTCACTCCCACCCGTGTGTGCCAGTCCCCCTCTCTTCTTCAGCA